GTGTGTGTGTGTGTGTGTGTGTGTGTGTGTGTGTGTGTGTGTGAGTGGTGGGTTTCAAAAATTTTTGGAACTTCTGTAGGTGTGGCCTGCTTTCCGGGTCCACTGGTGGAACCTCTTCTAACCGGTTTGGTAGATTTGACGAACCGGTTCTACCAAACTGGTGCGAACTGGTAGGAACCCACCTCTGAATATAGTGGTCCTTTACATACAGTGCAACTCCTCCTCTTTTATGGGGCCTGGTTTTTTTGAACAGTTTGTATCCTTTTATCAGTATGTTCCAGTCATGGGTTTTATCCCGCCAAGTTTCTGTTATTCCAACTATATCATATACCTTCAAATTCACTGTTCAAATTCACTGTTTGTTCCCCAGACTTTGTGCATTTGTATATAGACACTTGAGATCTTTATATCTGATTCTGGGTATGCTTCCTATGTCTCTTATTTGGTGTTTGAGTTTGTCTTCCTTCCCATCCCTCCTTACTTCATTATTTGACTTGCGTTCTAGGGGATTTTGCTTGGAATTAGGTCCTGGAGATCCTGAAGATTAGTTACCCTCCACCCTCAATTTTAGTTTAAAGCCCTCCTGATAAGTTGAGCCAGTCGTTTTCCGAAAACATTCTTCCCAATCCTTGTGAGATGCAGCCCATCCCTTGACAAAATCCCATCATGGACTTATGCACAGACCATGGTCCAAGAATCCAAAGTGCACTGAAGTCTTGACTGCTGGGAAGGACCTCTCCTAACAGAAACTTCTTATCTGCTTCCCTTCCAGAGCACATTGCCTTTGTGTAATTGAGTCCTGGAAGATTGTGGGAAGTGCTTGCTTAGAAGTAATACACAACCTCTCTCAGTAACAAGAATTGCAGGCAATTTTCCAGGACTTGAATGCCACACTTTCAGCTGATTTTGGTGCTGCTCAATTTCCCACCCCACCCCCACCAGGCTGGTCTGGTGGGCGAGATTGCCTTTCCTGCCACTATGGTCTGCAGTCACGCCACAAATGGGGATTGACCATCCCCCAAGCCTTGCTGCTGTCAAAGTAGATCCCAAGAGCTGTGCTGCAATGGACAGATGAAAAGCAGAGCAAGGGAAGGAGGAGGAGCAAAGAGAAGAAAGAGAGAAATTGGGGCCATCCTGGCAGGCCAGGTACCGAAGTGCCACCACTACCGCCATAGCAAGAGAAAGAGAGGGAGGGAGGGAGGGAGGGAGAGGGAGGGAGAGAGAGAGATCTGATCCCTTTGGGCATCTGCCCCTCCTCTACCTCCTGCTGCAGTCAGCCTCTGCGCAGTCACCTCCTCCTGTGCATGCATGGGGAGGTGGGGCGCCTGGCCAGGCCGAACCTTGTGATGAAAAAAAATAAGACATCTCCAAAAATAAGCCCGAGTGCTGATTTTGGGCCCAAAAGAAAGTAAGACCGGGTCTTATTTTCAGAGAAACATGGTAGCATTTAGGTAACATGTTTTATACATAATGAGGGTATTGTAATCTTTAGCAAAGTGAAGAGCAAAAACTATGAGAACAAACTCCATCTGATGCAAGTCTCTTAAATATATACTTACTATTAAGATCAGAAAGTGTTTTTTTCTTGGTAGTGTTATACTGATTCACCAAATAATCAATTTGCTAAAAAGAAAGCAACAAACATGGAATTAACAACATACCCACATATACCAAGGCAGTAATATTGATATAACTAAGCACTGTTGTCATTTCTGGAAGACACATGGCAGCATCACAAAAGCTTGAATTCTAGCTTTATCGGTAGAGGACACTTCAATACCCAGTCTACTTCACAGCCTAATTGGGAATTTTTCTCCTAATCATGATGATTACATAAACTCTTAATATTAACTGCTGGTGAACTTGAGTGGAAGTTTGTGATTACCCTCTTTTGTGTTTTCTAGAGGCATCTGAGGGAAATGTATGATCAGGCAGATATTCTATTGGCAGCCACATGCCCCTCAAAAGTTTAGATGTCCATTTTTATTATGGCAAGATTCCCACACTTACTGGAAGAGTGATAAAAACAAAAATGTTGTGCAATATTGCAACTAATGGTGCACAATACAATCAATCGTTAATATGAGTTCAATTTTATGTGGCATGCGTTTAATAATATTTTTAACGTCTCGTACAACAATGCAAATGTAAAATTGAATCCAGTCACGGAATCATTGCATGCCTACTTTCCTAACACCACATGAAGCCACCCAAAGGAAAATGGTACATTACCCCAGGAGTTCCATTCATGAACATCTGAAGGTCTCTGAAATTATTGTACATGAGTCCCCTGGCTCCTCGGACTTGGTTTGTGAGATGCTGGTTAGCCGCATAAGCAAAAAACACCCCAATACTAGGTAGCAAGAGAGAATACAGAAGAAAGAATTATTCTTACTTTTGTAGAATTAAATAATATTGTTAGATATCTGACTCCAAAGCACAGTAAAATTATCAAGGAACTATTTTCTGATGTTGAAGTGGACATATATGATGCTGTCCATTAGTATTTGTTTTAGAGAACCAACTTAGTGTATGTAATACAGACAGTCCTGGACTTATGTTTACAACTGAGCCCAAAACTTCTGTTGCTCAGTGAGACAGTTGTTAAGTGAATCTTGCAATCTTTTTGCCACAGTTAAGTAAATAGCTGCGCTTTTTAAGTTACTAATGTCAGGCCTGCATTTATATTCCTTTTAGAATTTTGGCCTGCCACACTTTCTCTTATTTCATTATGCTGTTTCTTTAAGTATAGTCAATGGGAGGGAGGATTAGAAGGAGTAGGATTTTGGAATGTATTGTTTTTCATTCTTTGCTAGAAGCCAAGGTCATCCTTTGTCTCCACACCAGTACACCTAACCGGAAGAAGCTGGGCATGGACACCAGCGTGGAAGAAGGAGATTGGACCATGTGATGGATTGTGGGTGTGGGGACAAGACCATGAACTTTTAACTGGGTGGGATTCTGATGTAACTTCCAGAGTTGGGATCCCAAAGCTATGTGCCAACATGCCTGCTTTATTAAATTGGAACTTTAAGCATAGTTTTGCCTTCGATTCTGATTTGATTCTACATGGTATTTGGAACGCTGACAACTAACAGGATTGTTAAGTGAATCTGGCTTTCCCACTGACTTTGCTTGTTAGAAAGTCGCAAAAGCTGATCACATGGCCCTGGGTCAGTACAACTGTCATAAATAGGAACTAGTTTCTAATCATATGAATTTTGATCAAGAGACCATGAGGATACTGCACTGGCTGTAGGTCATAAGTCAACATTCATATGTTTTCAGTGCTGTTGTAACTTCAAATAGTCACTAAATGAATGATTGTAAGTTGAGAACTACTGTAATGATTTAATCTTATGATAACACTAAAGAATGGTTTTAAGTTCATGTCTTTGGGCAGGGTCCAACTAATCTGTTCAGCTGAATAGGGGAAGTGAGAATTTAAGGAGATTCTGGAAACTGTTGATTAGTCCACAAAAATTAACAATATTCAATACATCTGAGTTGTTTCGTATTGTTAATTCAGCATCCACAATCTCCTTTGAGGTATTCCTGGAGGAAAAGACTTCACAAGTTTTACACATAAACAGTTGTGATTTAAAACAAAAATTGGTAGATAATACCTATGATGTTCCTACCAAATAGAAATGTTAAGGACCTAAAAGCAGAATGCAAATGGTAAACATAAAAAGAACAGAATGGAATGGAATCACCATAATTAGGAAACACTCAGGATTCAGGACTTTCAAAGATGCAGATGGAGCTGCCTGAATTGGAGAATGTCTTTAAAACTGCTCATGATAAGGAAGAATGGAGAAGATCCTTCAAGAGGCTCCCTCAGCCACTGTCTCACCACTGTACTTTGCCCTTTTATCAAGAGGCAATAACACCCAGGGGAAGGATAAGAGAGGGACATCTTTGCTGGGATCCAGTATAGTTTGGTTCCCTGAGTTTTTTTTATTTAATGTACCCATTTTATTAAATTTATTATTACCACCTACTTCAAAAGACTCTGGGCAACTATAAGAAATATGACTGGGTAGGACTCTTGGAGTTAAAGAAGTTCTGATTGTACGATTCCTTATCAACTAGGCAGCTCATTGGGAACTAAAATGTGTTGCTTAGGAAGGATTCTCATCTTTTCCCAGATCTCCTCTTTACCCAAGATGGCTTAGACTTGTCACACCAAACACATGGAATCTTTATGTTCAGAAGTCTGGTAACTTTAAATGACTTATTGGACAGGAAGGTGCAAGTCATAATTGCAGCATAATGTTTTGTTTCCCTGGCATACAACTATGATAACAAGGTGATGAGATAATTATACCATGGTATGTGACAGTGGGGACACTTATATTAAATGCTTCTAAATAGTATTCCAGCACTTGATATAGCTAGAAAAATAGCATTATTTCTGATTCTGATTTTCAGGGCTGCATTCTAATATATATAATAAGATATATAAGCGGGTGACAGCATCAAGATCATGAGACGTAACTTGCGTTACTTGTTACTAACAAGTTACTTGCGTAACTTGTTAGCTTGCGTCTGACTGATAATTCATGTTTGTGGATGTATTCTGCCCGTCTTCTGCCTGTTTATCCTACATAGTGGTTGTTGTATGTTGTAGATGACTCCTGTTTTTTTCTTCTGGGGTCATTGGGTCTTTTGGTCTGCTTAGGGTGTTTTGAAGGACTTTAGTTGCCTTGTGTGCTATGCTGCTTCCATGTGTTTGTGTGGATTGTGCCGTATTGGATTGAGTGATCAGGAACTTTTTGATAAAGTTGCATGGATAGCCATTTTGTTGGAATATGTTCCTTTTTTTGCTGTTCCGCTATGTAGGACAAACAGGCAGAATACTAGCAGAACGCATCTATGAACATCAATTAGCAATCAGAAGATATGATGAAAATTCTGTAATTTCACAAGATATAGACAGATTTAACCATAGTTTCAAATGGAAAATGTGACCATTCTAGACCAAGCCAAGTCCAAAACCGCCAGGGAATTTCTAAAAACCTGGCACTTTTGACAAATCAGCTATCAACAGACACATAGACATTAACAACATTTATAGACTATGCCAGGGGTTCTGCCAAAACCTGCCAAAGCAGTTTATTCAGTCCATGCATCATTCAGAGCCTCCTTGCCTTCTCTCTTAACTGAAGTTGATCATTCGAAATTGAATTAAAGCGCAGTCGGTGTATTTAAAACTCGTCTTAAACATAGCTTGCACTTTCTAGGCACCACTGGAGCAGAATGAGGGGGCACCCCGTCCCTTTCAGCCTTCTCTGTGAAAAAAAGGATGAGGGACGACTCTCCCCTCAACAAAGACACTTCCCAGCCAAGCCAGATCTCCCAATTGGCCGCCAGTTACCTAGATGAAACTGACATGTTTCCCAGGGCCGAGTGCAGTCGTAATCAGTCTGCCGGGTGAGTGCTTCTGCCTCAGCGACCTTATTGTGACCTCTCTCGCCAGAGGACATGACTGTTGCTTTAAAAATTGACTGAAAGAGGCGCCTCTGCCTGGCTTCTGAGCAGCCACAGAAGCAATGAGATGAGGAGGTGTTCTGTGTGGAGAACACTGGGAACAGACTGAGGCAATAGGTAGACCAAAGGCTAACAGGTTTATTATCTCTAACACAGAACATTAGCAATCGGCTGTCGGCTAATGTAATAATGGTCAAATGCCCATCTGACAGCTCTTTTATATTGAACTGTCAGATGGCCGGCCAATCAGCAACAGTCTTTGTTTCCTTGGCTACCACAAGGGGGAGCGAACACGAGAGGAGACTCAAAACTCCTCCCCTTTAATTTTCGTGCAGTCATAGTCTTGAAGATTGGCCTGCGCAGTTCCATTTCGGCTGGTGGGACTTTAGCAGTTGCTTCTGGAATGGCCGTGGGCTGCCCATCCTTGATCTCAGGAATCAGCTGATCTGGAACATCGTTTGGAATGGCAGGTGAGTCCCCTCTGTGAGGTGCATTGTCACTGGCCCTGGCTCCATTAGCTGTTGGGGAAACCTTGACACCCACTCTACCTAAGTTGATCTATGTGGCGGTGCCACAACCTGCCATCATCCAACAAAACCCTGTATGAACAGGGCCCCATAATATCTTGTATGATACCCTATAGCCAGAGGGGTGGCCACTGTAATTCCAGGCATACATGTGTCGTTCTTACTGAATGCCTGAGTTTTTGTGGATGAATCTAAGGGTGATTCAGGCGAGTACCCTGGGTGCAGCCTGTCTAATGTGGTTTGCAACCTTCTGCCCATCAATAGTTCCGGTGGGCTACAATTAGTCTTGGACACAGAGTAGTGTGCTGCATTAACAAATATTTAGCCAATTTGTTGTGTCAGTTGCCCAGGCCCAATCGAGATAGCGCTTCCTTGGTAGACCACACTGTGCGCTCCACCATACCATTCTCTGAGGGATGGAAAGGCACCACTAAGGCGTGTCTGATTCCTAAATTAATTAAGAATAATTCAAACTGGGTGGATGTGAACTGGGGGCCATTATCAGAGACCAATACATTTGGTAACCCATGCATGGCAAATAAGCAACGCAGGGCCCTAATTAGGGCTTCAGCAGTAGTGGAACCCATTGGCAACACCTCCACCCACTTTGAAAGTGCATTGACCACCACAAGAAACATTTCTCCCCTGACAGGCCCCGTGAAATCCAGATGTATGTGGGACCATGAGGCACGCAGTATTTCCCACTTCCTAGCCGGGATGACTGGGGCTACAGAGCAGGATTCCTGGCAACTTCTGGACCCAGAGACCCATTCTGTAATGGCTTTGTCTAAATTGGGCCATCAGACATAACTCTGGCCCAATGCCTTCATCCGGACTTATTCCCTGGTGGCCCTCATGCAAAGTCCTTAGGCACTGGAAAATGCCTGGTGCCACACTGATGCCAAACTGCAATCTATGGCACTTAAAAGCCCCTCTATGAGTAACAATGATTTGGGCTTCTGCTGTCTCTTTATCTATTGGCAGATGCTGGTACACCTGAGCCAGATCTAGTTTGGTGAATATTTTGCCAGTCCCTAAAGAATGCAGAAGGTCCTGAACCATCGGCACCATATAGGTGCTTGGTTGTAGGGCAAGGTTAATTGTACATTTATAATCTGCACAGATCCTAACAGACTCCATCAGATTTGACAGGTGTCACAATGGGGGTTTCCCATCATGCATGATCAATCGGTTCTAAAACCTCATTTTAGCAATTTGTCAATTTCTGCATCTACTTTTGGTTTGAGGGCAAAGGGGACCTGTTCTAGCTTGCAACGAATGGGTGCTATCTGTGGATCCAAATTAAATGAAATTGGGGTGCCAGTGTACTTACCAAGGGTGTTTTCAAATATGCTGGCAAATTCTTTAGTTAACGTGGCCATAGCAGGTTCCTGGATCATATTTATGCCTGAAATGCTGAGGTCCAAAACGTTGAATCAATCCAGCCCAAGGAGGCTGGGCAGGCTACCCTCGACCATGACAAGGAGAAGGCATCCAGTGAAAGTCTTGAAGTGCACTTTGAACATGCCAGTGCCTATAATGGGAATACTTGTCCCCTGATAGTCGCGCAGCTTGAGGCTGCAGGACTTCAATCTCTTCTTTTACATCTGTGGCACCAAGCATTTTAGTGTGCACCAAGACACCAAGGAAATGGCTGAACTCGTGCCAAGTTCTAATTTACAAGGTGCCCCTTCCAGTAATACTGTGAGGAAAATTTTCTTTTTAAACTCTGCATTTGCTTGTCCAATAATATATTCCAGAGAATTGTTATCTTTGGTTATTGTAAAACAATCCTTGTCTCTGGTTACAGGCTTAAACAATTGTTTTTTTTGTAATGGGCTGCCTAGCACTTTGACTTAACCTAGGACTTGAGGCCCAGCAAACTTTGGCTATATGCCCTTTCTTCACACCGCATAAACAGGTGGCATTTTTGAATTGGCAGTTAGACCATTGGTGATTCCCGCCACAACTGAGGCAACCACTTGAGGGAATGGCTTTCTCTGAGGCACCGTTTTTCCCCGTGAAAGGTTTGAGGCAGTAAGTCTCATTTTCCTCATCAGTGGCAGCTTCAGACTCCATTTCCTCATGGTGAATGACTTCTGGCTTAGCCCCAACAATGGGATTGTTTGCTTGCTGAATCTCTGTGGCTGATCTATTGGACAGCTCCGAAGCACAGGCTTCATCCAGAGCCATCTGTAACGTGATCTCTTTGCCAGTAACCTGCACTGTAGGGAGAGATCATGCAATCCACAAACCAGCCTGTCCAACAGATAGTCATCGAGATTTGTAAATTAGCAGTACAAAGTGGCTGCTCTAAGAGCCTATAAATAATTATTAATTGACTCCCTTCTTTCTGATTACTATGAAAGAACATGTGGCAGTGGGCGATTCGAGACAGCATGGGAGTATAGTGGCTCTTTAGCTTGGCCATCAGCTTTTCCCAAGGCCCAGAGACCACCTTTAAAGGAGCCACCAAATTCCTGGCCATCTCAAATACCTCTGTGCCTCAAAAGGTCAAAAAATAGACTTGCTTTCTATCTATCAGAATATCTGCCAAATTGTTAGCGAGTAAAAAACACTCGATCTTGTGGAGGTAAGTATCCCAGGCTTCAGATAGTGGGTTAAAAGCGATGAAAAAAGGTAGCCATCCTCGAATTTTGGTGCCTCGGACAGCGTTTACCTCAGCCTTCTGATGTAGCACGACCTCTTGTCATGTGATCTACAGCTCAATTTGAGTCAGCTCTTTCAAGTGACCAGCTCTTGCTCCCTATACCTCAGCCTCTGTATGGAGAACACTGGGAACAGACTGAGGCAATAGGCAGAGCGAAGGTTAACAGGTTTATTATCTCTAACACAGAACACTAGCAACTGGTTGTTGGCTAACACATCAGCAGCCCAATGCCCATCTGACAGCTCTTTTATGTTAGAGGGCCAACCAATCTGCAACTGTCTTTGTTTCCTTGGCTACCACTAAGGGGAGTGAACATGAGAGGAGACTCAATAGGAGGGAAAAGAGATACCTCTTCTGGGGCTTGCCCGCTCCCTGTCACCACCACCCCCGCCACTGCACCCCACTCAGCCCCTCCCCTTTCCTGCTCCTTTCCCTCCCTCAGCAATTTCTGGTTAAAGAGGCAGCTCGCGGGACAAAGATGCCCCTTGGCCGGTGAGAGAAGGGGGGAGGAGAGGAAGGGACAGGGGGTCCTGTCCCTAGAACTCCTTGGATAGCTCGGAAATGGGGCACAGCGTGGGAAGGGAACACCCGGGAAACTCCCTCCCTCCTCCTTCCCCCAGGGCCGTCTTAACAACATTATGAGTCCTGGGCAAAGCAGTGTACTGGGGCCCCTATGACAACTACTCACAGGAATAAAAATGTAAATGATCGATAAAATTAATCATATATTTGCATGTTAGTATTAATTTAAAATGCAGTAAATGTAATAAATATGTTGCTGTATTTATATGATACAAGGTGCATTGAAGAGTTAACATACACAGATTAGTATGGGGCCTCTATGCTCGTGGGGCCCACAGGCAAGTGCCCATGTGTTAAGACAGCCCTGCATCCCCCCTCCCCCTTTTCTCCCTGGCACACATGCTTTTCTCCTCCCTTGGGATCAAGTGGCAGTGGCAGCGAAGTGAAAAGGAAGTTATTTTTCCCTTTCACGCAACACTTCGCCCCCCATGCGCTTGCCTTTCCCCCCTTCACCTGGCTAACTTTCTCTCGACTCCATGCAGATTCCTCCCCTCTGTGCATGCAAGCACCCACACCCACCCACTTCCCATTCAGAGGCTCGTCCTCCCCTCCTCCCCTCTCCACCCCCTCCATGCACTCAGCCAGCCAGAGGGCACCCCGAGTGAAGGGAAGAAATTAACAAACTGGCTCGGAATCAATGGGGACAATTAAAGCGATCACCTCGCATCTTCTCGCCCCGCCCCGCCCGCCAACAGCCCCCTGCCTGAGACTGTGGAGTGTCTCTTCACCCCACCCCACCTCACTTCCTTGCAACGTTTCCTCCCTCCCTCCTCCCTCCATGTTGGGTGATGACCCTGAGAAATTTTCAAGCGAGACAAAGAAAGTCTCTCCCACCCCCAAGTTCCAAGGTGGCGCAGTGGTTAAATGCAGCACTGCAGGCCAAGGTGGCGCAGTGGTTAAATGCAGCACTGCAGGCTACTGCTAGATCAGCAGTTCAGCGGTTCAAATCTCACCGGCTCAGGGTT